ACGCTTTCCGCACTTCTAACCAGCATTCTGCCAGTACTTCTTCCAACAGAGATGTTTCTTCTTCTTGCAGTCCATGGTATTTTCAATATTCTTCACCAACACCATAATTCAAATGCATCAATTCTTCTCTGGTCTTCCTTACTCATTGTTCAACTTTCACATGTATTGAAAATACCATGGCTTGGATCAGGCACACCTTTGTCCTTAAACTGACATCTTTGCTCTTTAACACTCATCCTAGGCATTAATGATAAGAAATTCACAGGTATTGGTCATTTTGAATCAGACAATCATATAGTTTACTATGCCAGGAATGACAAATTCAAGAGAAATGGCATTACATTCATTGTCAAAAAGAACATTTCAAAATCTATCTTACAGTACAATGCTATCAGTGATAGAATAATATCTATATGCCTACAAGGAAGACCAATTGATATCACTATCACTCAAAGAAACATGCCAACCACTAAAGTCAATGATGAAGAAATTAAAGAATCCTACTAAATTCTTCAGTCTGAAGTTGACCAAAAAATCAATCAAGATGCTTTGATGATTACTGGTGATAGGAATGCAAAGGCTGGAAAAAGAGGAAGAATCTGTAGTTGAAAATTATGGCCTTGGTGATACAAATGATGGTAGAGATCACATGGTAGAATTTTGCAAGATCAAGAACTTACTCATTGCAAATACCATTTTTCAACAACATAAACAGTGACTATACTTGTGGACTTCACCAGATTGGGACATGGTGAAGATACAGGAATCAAATTGACTACATCTATGGGAAGAGATGAGGAGCTCTGGTAGTGTAGTGGTTACGAATCGGGCTGTGAACCACAAGGTCAGCAGTTCGAAACTACCAGCGGTTCCGCGGGAGAAAGATGAGGCGTTCTGCTCCCGTAAAGATATACTGCCTCGAAAACCCTGTGCAGGGTCGCTATGAGTCAGAACCGACTCCACGGCACTTAACAACAACAACAACATGGGAAGTGATGATGGAGAAGCTGCTCAGTATCAACAGCTAAACTAAGGCCAGGGACAGACTGTGAATCAGACAGTCAGTTGCTCATATGCAACTTCAGGTTGAAGCTGAAGAAAATTAAAACAAATCCACGAAAACCAAAGTACAACTGTTAGTATATTCCACCTGAATTTATAGACCATATCAAGAACAGATTTTACACAATGAACAAAGACCAGACGAGTCAAGATCTTCATATAATGAAGACAGCAGAAAGTTATTAAAAAGATAGCAAATTAAGAAAAGCCCAAAGTGGGTGTCTGAAGAGACTCTGAAACTTGCTCTTGAACATAGCATAGCTGAAGTGAATGGAAGAAATGATGAAGTAAAAAAAACTGAAAACAATTTCATAGGGCAGCTCAAGAAGACAAAGTATAATAATGAAAGGCGCAAAGACCTGGAGTTAGAAAATCAAAAGGAAAGGACACACTCAGCATTTTTCAAGCTGAAAGAGCTGAAAGAAAAATTCCATCCTTGACTTTAAAACATTGAAGAAGTCTATGGGGTAAATATTGAATGATGTACAAAGCATCATTCAGAGTTACTGGACCAAAAAGACTTGGTCAGCACCTTGGTAGCCTAGTGGGTTACAAGTTGGGCTGCTCACTGCTCCATGAGAGAAAGATAAGACTTTCTGCTTCCATAAGTATTTGTTGTTGATAAGTGTCATGAAGTCAGTTCTGATTTATAGCAACCCTGTATAGGATTTCTGAGGAGTGGCTAGTGGGTTTGAACAGCCACCTTGTGGTTCAAACCGACCTTGAGGTCTCGTGCTTATCCTACAATGCCACACAGCCTCGGAAACCCCATGCTATGAGTTGGAACTAACTCAACAGCATGCAATCACCATATAACCAAGAACCAATGGTATTGAAGGAAGAAGTCCAAGCTGCACTGAAGGCCTTAGCAGAAAACAGGGCTCTTGGAATTAACGGAATACCAATGAAAATGTGTCAACAAACTGATGCAACACTGGAAGCACTCACTAGTCAATGTCAAGAAATTTGGAAAACAACTACCTGGTCAAATGACTGGAAGAGAACTATATTTGTGCCCATTCCAAAGAAAGGTGAATGCAGAAACTATCAAACAATATCATTAATATCACACACAAGAAAAATTTTGTGGAAGATAATTCAAAAATGGTGCAGCAATACATCAACAGGGAACTTCCAGAAATTCAAGACAGATCAGAAGAGGACGTGGAATAAGGGAAATCATTGCTGAGGATGGATAGCTATTAGCTGAAAGCAGAAAATACCAACAAAAAAAGATGTTTACTTGTGCTTTATTGATCATTCCGAACTATGGATAACATTGTGAAGAATGAGAATTCCACACTTCAGTGTGCTCATGTAGGACCTGTATATAGGCTATGAGCCAGTCATTAATTTGTGGTTTAAGTTCAGGAAATGTATGTGACAGGGTTGTGTTCTTTCACCTTACTTATTTAATCTCTGTGCTGAGCAAATAATCCAAGAAAATGGATTATATGAAGAACACAGTATTGAATTGGAGAAAAACTCATTAACCTTCTTCAATAAACAGATGACACAAACTTGCTACTGAAAATGAAGAGAACTTAAAGCACTAAGTATGGATTACAACTCACTGTAAAGAAAACAGAAATCCTCACAATTAGAACATTAAATAATATCATGATAAACAGAGAAAAGACTGAAGTTGTCAAGGATTTCATTTTACTTGGATCTACAATCAATAATCATGTAAGCAACAGTCAAGAAATCAAATGATGTATAGCATTGAGCAAATCAGCTGCAAAAGACCTCTTTAAAGTGTTGAAGGACAAAGATGTCACTTTGAGGGCTAAGGTGCACCTGACTTAAACTATGTTTCATATGCATGTGAAAGCTACACAATCAATAAAGAAAATCAGAGAAGAATCAGTGAATTTGAATATGATGTTGACCAAGAATATTGAAAGTACCATGGACTCCCAGAAGAAAAAACAAATCTGTCTTGGTAGCCAGAATATTCCTTAGAAGCGAGAATGTTGAAATTTAGTCTAACAAACTTAGGGCATGTTGTCAGGAGGGACCAGTCCCTGGGAAATGGCATCATGCTTCTTGTTAAGTGCCACCAAGTTGGTTCCAACTCATGGCAACCCTTTGTAGGGTTTCTGAGGCTTTAAATCTTTATTTTGTTGTTGTTGTTGTTGTTATTGTTGTTGTTAAGTACCGTGGAGTCAGTTCCGACTCATAGTGACCCTGCACAGGGTTTCCGAGGCTGTAAATCTTTACGGGAGCAGAATGCCTCATGTTTCTCCCGCAGAACCGCTGGTGGTTTCGAACTGCTGACCTTGAGGTTGGCAGCCCGACTCATAACCAGTATGCTACCTGAACTCCTTTATGGGAGCAGAAAACCCTATCTTTCTCTCATGGAGTGGCTTGCGGGCTCAAAGCACAGACCCTGCGGTTCGCAATCCATTGCTTATCATATGGAGCTACCAGACTCCCTTGGTCAAGTATATTGTTGCTGTTAAGTGCTGTCCAATCAGTTCTGACTCCTACTAATCCTGTATAGAGTTTCCAAGGAGCGACTGGTGGGTTTGAACTACCAGCCTTGTGGCTAGCAGTCCAGTGCTGATCCTACAGCACCACACCAAGACTCCTAATATAGGGTCAGCAGAAAAGAGGAAGCCCCCAACACAGCTGATCAACATGTAGGACCTGGCAGTGTTTGCTCTGTTTTATATAGAGTTGCTAAGAGTCTAAGCAAATCTTGGCTCAGTCACTTCTTCCTGTCCCCTGACCTCATGCCCCTGGAAGGACTAGCATGAGAGCATGGACCAAAAGCAGGAAGGATGCCACTTTACTGAGCAGGAGATAGGGAGGTATCCTGGTGTTGTCCTGCCCCATCTGGATACCAAGAAAGGCCTGCTTGGTCTAGGCTCTGATTTAATCTCCTTTTGACACCGGACAGCCCTGGAGCCAGGAAGATGTGGGCCCAACAGCAGATCCTGGAAGTCTTCTTGACGTCTCAGACCTGCCCTGGGCCTCAACTGTGGCTGGAGTATGGGCCTGGAAAGGGCCAAAGATGGGGCCCCAAACAAGAATCTCAAACACACACATTACATTAAAAGTGGTAACTATCCAGTGTGGAGGCATCTATGGGTTGCTTCACCTAAGAGGAGGAACAGATACGTTACAAGAACCTGGGTTACATTCACATTTCACAGAGGGATGGTGGGGAGCTGGTGTGAGAGGACCTCAGGAAAAAAGTACAGACCACAAGCAACCTCTCAAGTTAATTTCGGAGACATTTTGTTTTTCAAGAATCATGTAAAAGATTCAATTCTGCTTTTATTAAATTGCTTTCTAATTAAAAACAAGAAAAGTCCAAATGTTCTTTAATAGTTTAAGGAGTTTATTAAACAGTTTTAAGAGGAACAGTGTATAAACAGTTTATAAACAGTTTTAAAAGTAACAGAAGGGAAGAAAAAAAAAAAAAAAGTAACAGAAGGAAAAAACAGCAGAAAGGGAGTGAAGCAGAGAGCTGGAAACCACGAGAGAAACAAACAGGAACCTCCCTTTTCCCAGTTGCCCAAGCCACTCAGCCCAGGCTGCAACCATGGTTCCAGGGTTCATCAAAGCAGGAAGTCCTTGTGCTCTACCCAAGTGGGGTTCTTTCCTTAGGCCCAGGGAACTATGGTTGGAGCAGTACTGAGGCGAGCACAAACCTGGCAAAAGTGTGACCATTACCAAGGGCCGAATCGAGGGTGGGGGCCCCCAGTCAGGTTCGTCTGCCGAAGGAATAAATGAATAGAAGGGCGGGACCCAATGTGTCATCTACGGGTGGGGGGAGGGGGGGAGGGGAAGCCTAGGGGGTGGGGCCTGGGGTGGGGCCTGAGGCGGGACCTGGAGAAGCGGGCTTTCCGAGGCTGACCACTTCGCTGGCTCTCAGCTGCCGGGACTGCACACCGACTGCCACCTGAGCACGCCATCTACGCCGCGCCATGGCCGAAGACCAGCGCGTAAAGGCCGAGACACTCGCCCTGAGACGGCGGTTCATCGGGTACCCAGCGGGCGGGGGTGGAGCAGGGGGCACGCACGCACGACGCACGTACGCCGAGCGCGGAGCTGCGGCCCCCAGCCCCTCCCGGACTACCCTGCTCGACCCTCGCGAATTAGCCATTGGTTCCCTGTCCCTCGGAACAAATCAGCGTGCAGTCCTGGCCTGGCTGCCCTCAGCTCCAGCGGCCGCGGCCTTCCTCTCTGGGCCGCCCTGGCCCGCAGCCTCTGCCCGAGCTCTTGGCAGCCACACTAGGAAGCCTTTGCCCCTGGAGCAGGCCTTTGCCCTGGCACGTGGGAGAACCTTACCCACTGTAGAGGGACCCAGGAAGGAGCAGAAAGGATAGATGAAGGGTCGGAGTGCAGGTAGTTTACTTACAGTACATCTGACGTGTGGGAAGGACCCTCAGAGGGCTATGGCAGTGAGGCAGAGACAACAGGGCCACCTGGCTGGCAGAGGCCAGTTAGGACTGAGAACCTGTGACCCCATATGGGTGCCCAATGCCACACCCCGCCCCGTACCCCCTTAAGAAACAGCCCCTCCGCCACCATCTGAGGCAGCAATCTTCTGGAATCTGAGGTATAGTTGTGAATACATGCCAAGATGAGCAAGATCTAACTTGAAATGACTTCATAAACAATTTAAGTTTTAGCAACTTACTACCACCCTTACTCCTTCTTTCCAACCACTGTGGGGTGGAAGGAATCCCTGGGTGGTGCAAGTGGTTAACTCAAAATTGGCAATGGAGTACATCTAGAGGTGATCTACTTCCCAAAAAATCAACCTTTGAAAACCCTATGGAGTACAGCTCTACTCTGATACACATGAGGTAACCACGAGTGGGAATCAATTTGAGACTACTGGTTTATGGAGTGGGAAGACGAGTCAGAAAACTAACATCATTCAAGCTTTTATCTTTTTCAGGGAAGGGGTTAGGACTCCCCTTAAGTCTTCATATAAAGTCCACTCCTTGCTGTCCCCACAGCTCTTCCTGCAGACTCTTTTTCCCTGAGGATCCTGTTAAGATCGTCAGGGGCCAGGGACAGTACATGTATGATGAACAAGGAGCAGAGTACCTGGACTGCATCAACAATGTGGCTCATGGTCAGTATCATACCTCAGACGAGAGGGGGGCCAGGGGAGGCCAAAACTGAACTTGATCTGAAGGTGTCCTGAAGCTGAGAGGCCTGTAGAGAACCTAGGTTGAATTGAGCCAGCATTCATGGCCAAAGAATGCCAAGTCTTTCTGGTGTACTTCCAAAAGGTATCCATGTTTAGTCCAGAGACCTAAATCTGGGGATCCAATCCAGTTTAAGGATGCTGGAGAGCCCAGTAGTGGGAGATGGCCTTATCATTACCAGCAGCCCAGCAGAATCCAGGTCAGGTTGGGTGGGGGTCATGGCTGGACTTTAGCCCCAGTGACTGCCTTAGGTTGTTGTTGTTGTTGTTGTTGAAAGTGCTGTCAAGTCGGTTCCGACCCATAGCGACCCTGTACAGGGTTTCCGAGGGTGTAAATCTTTACAGGAGTAGAAAGCCTTATCTTTCTCCCACGGAGCAGCTGGTAGTTTCGAACCACTGACCTTAAGGTTCGCAGCCAATTCGTAACCACTACGCTACCAGAGCTCCTTGACTGCCTTAGGTACTAGCTTAAAAAGCCCATTATTCAAATGGGGTAACAAGGATAGATGGAAGGTAAAGGAACCTGAGGTTCAATAGGCAAATTGGAGGTTAGTAAAGTAGAAGCTAAGATCAGGGACTGTAGCCTCAAATGCCTGGATTCAAATCCTGTCCACTTACCAACTTTGTGATCTTGAGCAGACTACTTAATTTTTTATGCCTCGGTTTGTTCATCTGCAAAATAGGCATGATAGATATAATAATGGATACCTACCAGGTGTTTTGGAGGAATAACTGAGTTAATTCACAAATGTGGCCGACACATCATCATAGTCTCTGGATGACACAAATGGTTAAGTGCTCAGCTGAAAGGTTGGCAGTTCAAATCTATCCCAGAAGCACTTCTGAAGAAGATCATTAGAGCCATTGAAAACCCCATGGATCACATTCTACTCTCACACACATGGGGTCAGTATGAGTGGGAATCAGCAGCAACTGGTTGATTCTTTTTGACTTGATACACACTAAGCTGTTATACATACTGTTGTCATTGTCCTTGACCAGCCCCCAATGGCAGATGAAGTCAAGCTCACCTATAGACCCCTGCCTTTGTCAAAAAAATGGCCTAAGGAAGCTTTCTTAAAGACATGGCTGTCCCAGACAGTATCTCCAGATATCTCCTGCCAGAGAACGTTTCCTTCAAATGTTGTTGTTGTTAAGTGCCATTGAGTCAATTCCAACCCATAGCGACCCTGTATAGGGTTTCCGAGGAGCAGCTGCTGAGTTTGAACCGTGGACCTTGCAGTTCAAATGACTTTGCAGTCTGACACATTAACCCACAGCGCCACACTAGGACTCCTTCTAATAGAGTTCAGCAACTCTTTCTAGGCCTCCCTCTCCAAAACCAGCTTCTCTCTCTTTGACCTCTACCTCCAGACGCCCTCCTTCCTCTTCTCTCCCTCTGTAACTGCGTCTCTTCTGACCGGGTTTACGGACTAGCCTGGGGGAGGCCCAGTGAGACTGGCCGGAAGTGGCTGGCCAGGTGACTGCGTGACCTCTTCCAGTTGGGCACTGCCACCCTCTCGTGGTCCAAGCGGCACATGAACAGAACCAGGCGCTCAACACAAACAGCCGGTACCTGCATGACAACATAGTCAATTATGCGCAGAAGCTTTCAGAGACCCTGCCAGAGCAGCTCTGTGTGTTCTATTTCCTGAATTCTGGGTAAGTGGACTGCACCAGCCCGTGACCGGAGGGCAAAACAATGAAGAAGAGAGTTGCACAAGTGGGCGCAATGTAGACTAGCAGACAAAGTGGACTTTGGGGAGGGGTCCTTGACATACCTGGTTCTCAAGCAGCCTAGCTGTGGACCCTGGTGTGTTACCTTCTGAGTCTGGTTTCTTTGTCTCTTAGGGATCATTTTTGAGGGTTAATGAGGCAATGTATTCCATAATTTTTGTGTCATGGATCCACAGCACAGCACTGAGGGTCTAGCCCAACTCTCTTCTTGGGTTACTCAATAAAGAGCAGAAACATCAAGTGGTTTCTTCAAAGAAATGCAGAATTACAAAGTGGCATTGTTTAGTGGAACTATTCAGAGTATAATGAAATGGAGGGGATCTGTCCCAGGAAGGCATCCCTGAATAAGTGATGATAAGCTGAGAGCTAAAAACTAACCAAGAGACAGCTAGCTGAGGAGAAAGGGGAGAGTGCTGCCCATGCCACTGGGAGGACTTGTCAAGGCTGGTTGCCACAGGAACAGCCTGGGCAAAGACCCTGAGGCAGGAAGGGCCCAGCATGCCAGAACATCTGAAGAACTGAAAGGAGGTCAGCAGGGGATGGGAAGAAGGAGGGTGCAAGCTAGACTGGAAAGGGTGGCAGAGCCCTATCTCCTAGGACCTTAGTAGCCAAGTGAGGAATCTGGTGTTATCCTAAGTGCTCTGGGAAGCCATGGAAGGATTTTAATCAGAGAAGTGACAACAGGGCTGAGGGAGAGCAAGCATAAACAGAAATCAGTCAGCAGCCAGGTAAGAGGGGAATATAGTTTGAACTAGGGCAGTGAAGACAAATGGGTAGGTAAAGTATACCCCAAACAAGTGCAGCACACCTGGGAGAAAACAGTTCCACAACTCCTAGGCAGTGGCCTTTACAGTCTATTAATGATGTCATTTTCATCATTATCATTATCATTTACAGTATACATTCATCAGCCCCTCCCACCTCCAGTAATTTCCTGGAATTACCATGTTCATTTTACATGTAGGTGACAGAGTTCAGCTTGCCCAGGATGGCACCAGAGTGGGAACCAAGGTCCTTAGCTCCAAGTCAGTTTCTCTGTGAAGAGCAGGGAGTTGGAGTCAGCACCTGCATGGTGGTAGAAGGGATATTCCTAGTGACTTTCTTTACCACGTGTGCTCTGGGGGTTCCAGTGACTTCTAGGGGGCCAAATCCCGGGGTGTCTTTGCTGCCCTGTTGCATTCAGTCTCTTGACAGTATTTGAAAGACTGAACCACTTTCTCGGGAGCTTTCTCCTCTCGCTGCTGGGACACCGTGCTCCCTGGTTTCCCTCCAAGTTCTCTGGCCTCTCTCTTCAGTTTCTTTTGCTGGCTCCTCGTCCTTTATGCTTCAGGGTTGGTCCCAGGCTATTTTCCTCTCCAAGCCTTCTCCCAGCATGTCCTCATCCATTCCCCCATTCCGGTGGCTGGAACTCTTAGATCTATGTCCTGCGCTTAGACATTGCCCATGCATTCCAGACTCAGGTTGTAGCTGTCCACCTCACATCTAACAAAAATTTCCAATTTAGCATCCAGAAGTGAGCACTTGCTTGTCTCCCACCAGCATCTGAATGGGAATTGAGCAGGCTCTCCCCCACCAGCCCCAGGCCTAACCAGGAACCAGCCACACTCCACCCACTAAATAGTCCCCTCAGGTAGTATTTGCTCAAGGCAGGAGTTTCCCGCCCCCTTCCAGCCCTTAGTCAGGCCCAGCTATCTCTTACACCCACCACCTCTCTCCATCCCCATGGTACCCCCAGCTAGCCCTGGTGGACAGCCCCCTCCAAGTCCTTCATTCCTTCTACTCAGCTAGACACACAGCCAGAGATTGTCTCCTGAAATGTGTGGAGTCATGTCCCTTCTCAGATTAAAACCCTTCTGTGGCTTCCTATGGCACTGAAAATTCAACCCAGGCTCCTCCTCATGCCCACATGGCCCTGGAAACTGGCCTCTGCATGTCCCCAAATTCTCCCGACCTCCCAGCATCCCCTGCATCCTTTCTGGATTCCTCGAGCACACCCAGCTCTTTTCCTTTCCAGACTTTGGCACAAATTGTTCCTTCTGCCTGGAAGCTTTTCTGTGTGGCTGTTCCTTCCCCTCAGGTCTAAGTGCACATGTTCCTTCCTCATATCTAAAGCAGGGCCATCTAGCACGCTCTTTCAGCACCTTGCCATTGTAGCACGTATCAAACTGATGAGTTTCTTTCTCTGTCCGTGACACACACTAGAATGTATACTCCAGGAGGGCCAGGGCCAGTCTGTTTCACTTATTTATGTTGGCCCCAGCTCAGTCTAGCACAGAGGAGGCATTTGATAAACATTTAGTGAGTGAGTGAATAGTAGTAGCAGGAGAAGTATCCTTCTCAAGGGGCTCTTGGTGGAAGCCACCCTCAGTGAGGAGAGCAGACTCACAGCACTGCCCTGACTGTGCCCTCGGACAGCTGTCTGAAAAGCACCCATGTTTGCCACAGGTCAGAAGCCAATGACCTGGCCCTGAGGCTGGCCCGCCAGTACACGGGACACCAGGACGTGATAGTGCTGGACCAGTAAGTGCCACACAGCTCTGCCCTTCCCAGAAGTGACTGACTTGCGAACTTGTTGGGGGTCAGTGAGGCTCTGGCTTTTAATTTGTCTTACTCAGGGTCTTCTAGACAAAACCAGGAAGGTAAAGTCCGAGTGGCACAAACAGTTTGTGTTCACCTGCTAATCTAAAGGATGGTGGTTCAAAGCCACTCAGCAGCACCTGAGGAGAAAGGTCTGGTTGTCTGCTTCCATGAAGATCACAGCCAAGAAACCCTGTAATATGGCGTACCATGAAGCAAAGTCAACTCAATGACAAAAGTTTGTTTTGTTTTGTTTTTAAGATACAGAAAGAGATTTAAGGTGCTCTGGTAGCATAGTGGTAACGAATCCGGCTGCTTGCCCCAAGGACAGCAGTTCAAAACTACTAGTTCCATGGGAGAAAGATGAGGTTTTCTGCTCCCGTAAAGATTTACAACCTTGAAAACCCTATACAGAATCGCTGTGAGTCGGAACTGACTCCATGGCACACAAACCACCACCACCAGAGAGTTTTATTTGAAATATTTTAAGGAACTGGTTCATGTGCTTCTGGGGGCTAGCAACTACAGAATCTGTAGGCAATGTGACAACTTAGAGAGTTCTGTAGACTTGTGTCCCAAGAGTCATAGGTCAGAGTAGAGGAATTCTGGCAATTCACTGTAGGGGAAATTCTTTTATGTTTTCTTTATTTTTGGTAACAGTTTTGGTGAGCTATAGTGCACATTATCCAGTTCAGCCATTTAAAGTGTGCAACTTAGTGATTTCTAGTATATTCAGAGTGTGTACCATCACCACAATCAAAACGAAACCCAGCAACCCTTAGTAGTTATTCCCCATTTCCTACAGAGGCAGACTAAGCTATAAATTAAGTGTACATACTTTATTGATAATTCTTTTGCTCATGAGAAAAACTTTAGTTAAATCTGAATTCAAATCTCAATTGAAGCCCATAGCCACACAAGCATAATGGAAGGGAGATTTGGAGTTATGTAAATGATGCATGGGGATTTACAAGTGAATACTTAAAATTGTGTTAATTAGGACTCAAAAGAAATGAACAATTCAGTCTCAGTGGTAGAACCACAGTTTTAAATGTTCAGTAGCCACATTTAACTAATGACTGCCCTATTGAACTGAGAAGAACATTTCTGTCATCACAGAAAATTCTATCGGACAGTCCTTTCCAAGTGAAGTATTTTAAAAATTGGATTCTCAGGCATTTAGTCCCAGTGTGGCACTGTAGTATAAGCACTGGATTGCTATTCATAAGTTAGTGGTTCAAACCTACCAGCCGTTCCTCAGAAACCCTATACAGGTTACTATGAGTTGAAACTGACTACATGGCACTTAACAACAACTGAACAACATCTGCTTATTGGCATATAATAACATTTACATGATCGTATTGTATCATAATAGCTAGACATCCAATATTGGTTTGTTTTTTGGGGTTGATACCGATAGTGATTCTCTGTCGTTCCCCATACACACACACACCTCCCCCGTGAAATTAGAGAAGGTCACACAGTTCTGATGTGCCATTTTTACAAGCCCCAATGTTCAGTGTTTTCTTTGACTCCTATTTGTTGTTATTGTTGTTGTTAAGTGCCATCGAGTCAGTTCCTACTCATAGGAACTGTATAGGGTTTCCAAGGAGCAGCTAGTGGATTTGAACTGCTGACCTTGTGGTTGGCAGCCCAGTGCTGATTCTGCTGCACCATATCAGGAGTGTAACTCCTATTTGTTGTTGTTGTTGTAAGTGCTGTGGAGTTGGTTCCGACTCATAGCGACCCTGTACAGGGTTTCCGAGGCTATAAATCTTTACAGGAGCAGAGCCTCATCTTTCTCCCACGGAACCGCTGGTAGTTTCGAACTGCTTACCTTGCGGTTCACAGCCCTATTCGTAACCACTACACTACCAGAGCTCCTTTTAACTCTCCTATTAGACAGATGGAAAACTCTTTCTCTTCAGGCCTCATTTAACTGGTTGGATGAAGCCCACCCACATTGTGGAAGATAATATGTTACTTACTTACTGATTTCATCACTTGTGCCATAGGATAAGCACTTGATCTCAAGGTCAGTATGAACTGCAAAGTCAGCAATTCAAACTTACCGGTCACTCACTCCTTGGAAACCCTATACAGAGTCACTATGAGTTGGAACTGACTCAATGGCACTTAATAACAACAACGACTTCATGAAGTGCCTAGATGGCACAAATGATTAATGTGTTCAACTATTAACTAAAAAGTGGGAGCTTTGAGTCCATCCAAGAGACACCTCAGAGGAAAAATCTGGTGAACTACTTGAATCAACCACTGAAATCCCTGTGGAACACAGTTCAACTCTAACACAAGTGGGGTCACCTTGGGTCAGAGTCAACTTAACAGCAACTGATTAAGTTTTGTTTGGGTTTTAACTACTTCATACCCATCATCTTGACTTCTGTTTGACCAAACAACTGAGCCCGTTAACTTATCCAGGTTGATACATAAAATTAACCATCCCAAGTGCTGTAGGCCAGGCAGCCTCACTGGCTGGGGGAAGGACCACAGAAACCCCACAGGGCCCTTTCCTCAAGCCACACTGTTCTACAAGGGAACCTGTTGGGAAGCAGAATGCTTTGTGAGGTGGTGAGTGTTTGTCCCACAACCTTCAAAATCTGAATGTTTTCCCAGCAGCTATTGCTCTGGTAGCATAGTGGTTACGAATCGGACTGCAAACCACAAGGTCACCAGTTCGAAACTACCAGCTGTTCCGCAGGAGAAAGATGAGGCTTTCAGTTCCCATAAAGATTTACAGCCTCAGAACCCCTGTACAGGGTCGCTATGAGTCGGAACCGATGCCACAGCATTTAACAACAACAAAATTTTAATAGTTGCCATCAAGTCAGCTCCAGCTCCCAGCAACCTCATGTGTAACTGCACAAACGGTGTTCGCTCCAGCACCATCTCATGATCTTTGCTGTGCTTCGTCTATTGTTATTTTGAGTTTCTTCCAACCAAGGGGTTCATCTTCCAGCACTATGTTGGGTTTCCATTGGCTAACTTTCACAAGTAGACCATCAGGCCTTTCTTTGATGTCTGTCTTAGTCTGGAAGCTCTGGGGAAAGCTGTCTGCATGACTGCTCCTGCTGGTATTTGATAATACCAGTGGCATAGCTTCCAGCATCACAGTAACACACAAGCCACACCAGTACAACAAACTGACAGATGAGTGGTGGGTCCCTACAGTTACTTTCTTGTCCTGAGCCTCTGATGTGTCTGAGGCCAGGTTTGGGGCATGATCACACTTTAAGACTCAGTGTAACCCTGCAGGAGAAAGCTGGACCCACGCAGTTAAATGATGACACCCACACACCCATTTTGTAGCTAGTAGGTGGCATTACCAGGAGACCTTGCTGACTCCCAGCATGAGGATGTGCTGTAACCAGAAGGTTGCTTGTTCCCGGAGTGTCTAGGTTGGGCAGAGGAGTCTGTGCCACCTGGACTAAGACCTCCTCCCTCTCTGCCCCAGTGCATATCATGGCCACCTGAGCTCCCTGATCGACATCAGCCCCTACAAGTTCCGGAACCTGGACGGCCAGAAGGAGTGGGTCCATGTGGTATGTACTGCAGACATTGGCATCAAGTGGGGGCCCACCCATACACCAGGTGACACAGTGCTGTCTCTTCCCACAGGCACCACTCCCAGACACCTACCGGGGCCCTTACCAAGACCACCCCAATGCTGCAGAGGCCTCTGCCAGTGATGTGGAGCGCGTGATCGCCAGTGCCCAGGAAAAGGGCAGGAAGGTAAATGCCTCCTACGCACGCTGAGTGCTGCTGGTGGCCCCAAGGGAAGGCAGGCAGACCCTGCCTGGAGGAGTCCACAAGGAGTTAATAGACTCAGAGGAGTTTCAGTGTACTGATGAGGGCACGTCTTCGTTTCTTAGAGCACAAATACCACAAGTGGTTTCAAAGAACAGAAATATATTTTCTCACCTTCTAGAGGTTTAAAGTCCCAAGTCAGGGTCTCAGCCATGTCACTTCCTGACTTGTGGGCCTTCCTTGATTCCTTGACTTGTACACAAGCTTCATATGGCATCTGTCTCCCCTGACCCTCATGTGCACATATCTCTGTGTCTAATTCACTCCTTTCAGAAAACAGAAGTGATTAGGTTTAGGAGCCGCCCTAAGTTGTCATGACCTCAACTGACCACTTGATGACATGCCAGGTTGTGAGAGATGATTGCATTACATTACATTAGATTGCTGCATCCTGTGGCAGAACTGTAGGATAAGTACTGGACTGAAAGATCTGTTTAGACTGAAAGGTGGACGGTTCAAACCCACCAGCGGCTCCTCAGAAACCCTGTCCAGGGTTGTTATGAATCAGGACTGACTCGATGGCACTTAACAATAGCAGCAACACATTAGATCACATCCACAGGTGTAGGGGTGAGGATTCCAGCACATATTTTCACAGGGTGGGGATAGGAGTTAGCTATGCAGAGTGGGTGGCAGTGTAGAAGAGGACAAGCATCCTCTATAGAGTAGGCAGTAGGCAACCTTGCCTGGAGATGGAGGGGTGGGGATGAGGTGGGCAGAGCCATGTGAGGTATGGGGCCAGGCTGAGCCAGGAGAGACAGAGGTAATAGCTCAGTGTTGTGCTCTAGAAAGTTCCCTCAGGCTTGTGGAGGGTGGTTTGTGCAGACAAGTGATTACAGAGGCTAGGGGCTGAGTCAGCACTGGAGAGACCTGACCAGGGCAGCATGGTAGAGATTGTGGGGGTGGGGGGAGTGGGGAGCACAGCAGATACATGTTGTACCAGGCACAGGGATGGCCACAGGAGAGCAGGCAGGAAGCCATTGGATAGCAGAATGAGGGGAGGTTCTCCAGAAGGTCCCACTGAGGCGTGACAAGCTGCACACAGACTACAGGACAAGGAAGACAGTTGTACAGCCTGTGGGGTTCTGGGAGCAAATCAGGGCCACCTGGACTAGGTCCTGAAAGCCTCTGTGGCTCAGATGCTCTTCACCCAATTATATAAAATGTGGAAAGAGAATTGTTCTGGTCGCTATAGGGAGAGAGACAAGCTTCCTGTCATATCCACCCATCTTGTCTGGGCAGAGTCCTCTGAATCCCTTCCGAGGCAGAGAGAGCAAAGTGCAGAAGTCATTGCTGAAGCAAAAGGGATCTGTGCGGAGCAGCACCAAGCTCAGACCTCTGGGTTAACATCTGGTGCCAAGAGGGGCTGGACTCTTCCAAAGTATTAGGAGACAGCTGCCAGAGGCCAAGTTGGAAATGGATGTGAGGGAAGGAGTGAGAAGTCAGGGATGGAACCAGTGGGCAGTGGATTAAAGTGGATCAAGGATGGCAGGCCATATCCCTGTCCTGGGAGGTGAGACAGTGAGAGGTGGGTCAGCAGATAAAGAATAGAAGGAAGGAACAGCCTACTGGGGGAACTCGGTTAATTTAGTGTGGGGCATGCCCAGAACAAGTGTCCTAGGGGCATCCCAGCGGTAAGAATTCGTCATGAACCCTGAACCCTCAATTTGCTATGGAACCCAGTCAGGCTCAGCAGTGGCTTCCTTGGTCCTCTTGTAGCACTGAGTTACTTGGGTAGGCCAGGTGGTTCCTGATGCCCCCTCTTGTCCACAGATCGCAGCATTCTTCGTGGAGTCTCTGCCCAGTGTAGGAGGGCAGATCATCCCCCCTGTGGGCTACTTTCCAAGAGTGGCTGAGTGAGTACATAGCAGGGGGCTGCCGCTGAGAGGAAAGCATGTTAATGGGGTTTCCACACTTTTGTCCCAAACCCCAACCTTAGGCTGGCCTGTTCACCAGAATTTTTAGGCAACCACCCTAAAGAACAAGACCACCCATCAGCCCACCACCTCCACCTAACTGGTGACAGACCCCCAACTCAGAGCCCCAAGGTCTCCCACCTTTGTATCCAACCCCTTCCCACAACTCTTGTCACCCTTCTGTCTGTCCTCTGCCACAGGCACATCCGCAAGGCTGGAGGGGTCTTTGTCGCTGATGAGATTCAAGTTGGCTTTGGTCGTGTGGGCAAGCACTTCTGGGCCTTCCAGCTGCAAGGGGAGGACTTTGTCCCTGACATTGTCACCATGGGCAAGCCCATTGGCAATGGCCACCCTCTTGCTTGTGTGGTCACAACCCAGGCTGTGGCAACGGCATTTGAAGCCACCAACGTCGAGTATTTCAACACGGTGAGTGAGGGTTCCAGGGCAGGGGCTCCTTCCTGCTGGGCTCTGTTGGGTTTGGACAACTGGCTCATCCTAGTGAGCAAAGGCCCTACACTGGGCTCAGCATGAAGACTGCTAACACTGTCTTACCTACCTAGGGAAGCCCTATCCAGGGTCATTATGAGTCAGAACTGACTTGACTGCACTTAACAACACCAACAATTGTAACAGGACTGCGAACCACAAGGTCAGCAGTTCAACCCACCAGCAACTCCTTGGAAACCCTGTACAGGAGTGCTATGAGTCAGAACTATCTTGATGACACTTAACAGCAAAAACAACTGTAACAAACACCACAAATGGAAGATGTTAGAGAACAGAAACTTTTTTTCTCACAGTTCTGGAGGCTAGAAGCCCACACCAGTGTCTTCACTGTGTTGATTCCTTGGTTCCTTGGCTTGTAGATGATCCTCACATGGTCTCTGTTTTCCCCACTTGTTTGCCTCTGTGTCTAATCTTCCCCTTTTAGAACACAGGCATTATTCAGTGTAGGACACACTCTGCACTGGTAATGGCCACATGAACATAAAAAAGCAGCCCAGGTTTCCAGATGGATTTATATCCACAGATACAGGGGTTAAGATCCCAACACATCTTTTGGGGGACAATTAGCCCTGTGAAGAGGAAAGAATGTGTTCTGTGAGGTGACAGACAGGTAGCCAGTTCATGGGTTACTTTATTAGTGTTGTAAGTGCCTGAGAACCCCTCATCCCAAATAGAGGCTAGGTCCTTGCCATCTAACCCTGTGGATCGAACCCATGTCATTGCTTCCAACCCCAGCTGACTGTCACTCTAAATTCTATGTTCCCAGTTTCCCCTTGTGTATTATGGTATTGAACCTATACATATACATTTCCTCTAAAACATGGCATTTTTTATTTTGTTTTTAACCTTAAATATATTTTTTAAAGTGTATCTTGCTATATGTACTGTGGGAAGACTTTATCTTTTTTATTTAATATTAGTAAGAATCATCCATATGGCATGTTACTGAAGTTCGTTTGTTTTGATGCTTCATAGTTATTACATTGTGTAAATATAAGGGGGCTTCAAACAGTTCATGGAAAAACGTTTCCATTTTTTCATGAAATTTTTGAAACCCCCCCACAGGAATGGTTTAAAATCAGGAAACATGTATGCCAGGGTTGTATCCTTTCACCATACTTATTCAGTCTGTATGCTGAGCAACCAAGCCAATAAAATCGATTATGTAAAGAAGAATGTGTCATCAGGACTGGAGGAAGACTCACAACCTGTGACATGCAGACAATACAACCTTGCTTGCCATAAACAAAGAGGATGAACATCAAACTGAAGAACATCAAAGACTACAGTCTTCAGTATGGGTTTCACCTCAATGTAAAGGAAACAAAACTTCTCACAACTGGACCAATAAATGTCATCATGATAAATGGAGAAAAGATTGATGTTATCAAAGACTGCTGCTTGGGTCCACAATGAACACACATGGAAATAATAGCCAAACAATCAAACAGTGTGTCAATCCATCTCTTTAGGAGTCTTCCTCTTTTTCACTGATCTTCCATTTTACAAGCATGATGTATTTCTTCAAAGACTGGTCCCTCCTGATAATATGTCCAAAGTATGAGAGATGAAATCTCACCATTCTGGCTTCTAAGGAGCATTCTGGCTGTACTTCTTCCAAGACACATTTGTTCCTTCTACTGGCAGTCAATGGTACTTTTAATAGTCTTCTCCAACACTATAATTCAAATACATAGATTCTTCTATGATCTTCCTTATTCATTGCCCAACTTTCACATGCAAATGAGGCTATTGAGAATACCAAGGTAGGGTGAGGTGCACCTTAGTCCTCAAACTGATCCCTTTGCTCTTGAACACTTAAAAAGAGGTCTTATGCAGCAGATTTGCCTAATGCAGCACATTGTTTGAATACTTTTACTTATATGAGTATTGATAGTGGATCCAAGCAAAATGAAGTCTTCCAAATCAATATTTTCTCCATTTATGTCATGTTATTTATTGGTCCAGTTATGAGGATTTTAATTTTTTTTACATTGAGGTGCAATCCATACTGAAGACTGTGGTCTTTGATCTTCATCTTTAGTATTTTACGTCCTCTTCACTTCCAGCAAACAAGATTGTATCATTTGCATATCATAGGTTGTTAATGACTCTTCTTCCAATTCTGATGACAAATTCTTCTTCACATAATCCATTTTTTAGATTATTTGCTCAGCATACAGATTGAATAAGTATGGTACACATCTTTCTTGATTTTTAATTCATGCAGTATCCCCTTGTTGTATTGAAACAACTGTTCCTTGGTCTATGTACACATTCCTCATGAGTCCAATTAGGAGTTCTAGAGTACCCACTCTTCAAATGTGATCCATACCTTGTCATGATCCACACAGTCGAAAGTCTCTGTGTAGTCAATAAAGGACAAGTAAACATCTTTCTGGTATTTTCTGCTTTGAGCCAAGATCCATCTAACATTAGCAGTGATATCCTGAGTTCAACATCCTCTTATGAATCCAGCTTGAATTTCTGACAGTTCTTTGTCAATGTACTGTTACAGTTATTTTTTAATTATCTTCAGCAAAATTTTGCTTGCATGTGATATTAATGATATTGTTCAATGATTCCTGTATTGCATTGTGTCACCTCTCTTTGGAATGAGCATAATAATGGATCTCTTCCAATTGGTTGGCCAGGTAGCTGTCTTCCAAATTTCTTGGCATAAATAAGTGAGTGCCTCCAGGGCTGCATCATGTTGAAAGATTTCAATTTGTATTCTCCATCAATTCCTGGAACCATATTTTTCACCAGGCCTTAACTTCAGCATGGACTTCTTTCCTTGATCATATGCTACCTCTTAAAATGGTTGAATATTGGCCATTTATTTTGGCACAGTAACTCTGTTTATACTTTCATTCTTCTTTTGATGCTTTCTTCATCACTCAATACTTGTCCATAGAATCCTTCAACATTGCAAGTCAAGCTTTATTTTATTTTATTTTATTTTATTTTTTCAGTTCTTTCAGCTTGAGAAATGGTGAACATGTTCTTCCCTTTTGGTTTCTTTCCTTCTGGTCTTTGCACACTTCACTATACTACTTGACTCTCTCTTCTCCAGCTGCTCTTTCAACTTTTCTGTTCAGCTCTTTTACTTCCTCATTTCTTCCATTTGCTTTAGCATTTCTACACTGGAGAGCAAGTTTCAGAGTCTCTTCTGACATCCATTTGGTCTTTTCTTTCTTCCTTGTCTTCTTAGTGACCTTTTGCTTTCTTCTGTATGATGTTAATATCATACCTCGACTCTTCTTGTCTTCGATCATTAATGTCTAATGCATCAAATTTGTTCTTCAGATGATCTCTAAATTCAAGTGGGATATGTTCAGGGTTATACTTTGGCTCTCGTAGACTTGTTTTCTTCAGCTTTAGCCTGAATTAATATATGCGCCTGTTCCACAGTCTGCCCTTTGTCTTCTTTTGGCTGATGATACAGAACTTTTCCACTGTCTCTTTGCACAGGTGTAATGAATTTCATTTCTGTGTGTTACATCTGGTGAAGTCCATGTGTATAATAATGTTTTATGTTGTTTAAAAAGGTATTTGCAAAAAAAAAAAAAAAAAGGTATTTGCAGTGAAGTCATTTATCTTGCAAATTTCTATCATGTGATCTCCAGCATCATTTCTATCACCAAGGCCATGTTTTCCAACTACTGATCCTTCCTCTTTGTTTCCAGCCTTTGTATTCCAATTGCCAGCAAGTATCAATACATCTTGATTGCATGTTTGATCAATTTTAGACTGAAGAAGTTGGTAGAATTCTTCAATTTCATCATCACTAGCTTTAGTGGTTGATACATAAATTTGAATAATAATTGTATTAAGTGGTCTTCCTTGTAGGCATATGAATATTGCCCTATCACAGACAGCATTATACATCAAGATAGATTTTGAAATGTTCTATTTGATGATGATGTGACACCATTCCTCTTCAATTTGTCATTCCCAGCATAGTAAACCATGTGATTGCCAGATTCAAAATGGCCAATACCAACCAGTCCATTTCAGCTCACTAATAACTAGGATATTGATGTTTATGTGTCCCAATTTCATTTTGACAGCTTCCAATTTTCCTAGATTCATATTTCGTACATTCCATGTTCCAATATTTAATAGATGTTTGCAGCTGTTTCTTCACATTTTTAGTTGGGTCCCATCAGCAAATGAAGGTCCCAAGGCTTTACTCCATTCGTGTCATCACAGTCAACTCTACTCTTCCCCAGTCTCACTTTGAATGCCTTCCAATGTGAGGGGCACATCTTCCTGTACTATCTAATATTCTGGTGCTATTCGCCATGTTTCAGTATTCAACGTTCTGTGCTGACAGTGTTTTAGTGCTATTCATTAGGTTTTCAATGTCTAAACATTTGGAAATAGTCTATATTTCCTTCTTCCGAGTCTGTCTTAGTCTGGAAGCTCAGCTGAAACCTGTCCACCATGGGTGACCCTTCTTGCATTCAAAATACTGGTGGCATAGCTTCGAGCATCACAGCAATACGCAAGCCACCACTGTGTGACAAACTGATGGAGAAGTGGTGGACCTTCCTTTTAAGTGTGTAGACATTATCCTATCACAGAATTATACTTCAAGATAGATCTTGAAATCTTCTTTTTGACAAATGAACATGATACCATTCCTCTTTAATTTGTTCTCAGAATAGTAAACGCTATGATTGTCTGATTCAAAATGGCAATACCAGTCCCTTTTAGCTCACTGATGCCTAGGACTGGTCAGCACTGAACTGCAATACATAAAGTCATTGGTTCAAACCCACCAACAGCTCCTCAGAAACCCTATGCAGGATCACTACAAGTCAGAATTGACTCAACAATACTTAATAACAACAACAATGCCTAGGATATTGATCTCATGCATTCCATTTCATTTTTGACAACTTCCAATTTTC